CTTTCTGCCTCTTGAAGTCAGTAGCTGGTATGTTGTCGAATAACAAAGCCCACTATATCCTGACCCAAAAGACCGGGCCACACTGAGGTCAGAGATTGGGGTTCTCAGCGTGCCAGCAGCACAGTGTCATCTTTCTGAAAGCAAGTTTGCAGTAGCTAGCAAGCGACTGACAAATGCTTAAGTTCATTGACCCAGTAATTCCTCTTGTACAAAGATGTGTGCGAAGATTTATGTTCATCACAGTGTTGTTCCTGACAGTGAAAACCTGGGAGTAGCATCCATGCCTGTCATTAGGGCTTGGTTAGATACGGTCTCAAAAAATAATGTTTGAGTTTAATATATGAGAAAATGTTCATGCTATAAAGCTAACTGAAAAAAGAAGATATAAAACTGTATATATGTTCTGATCTCATATCTTTTTTAATAAGTGTATTTATTTTATGTACATAACTCTGTAATTTGTCTTTTTGACGTAATGATATATGACATCCTATCAGGTTCATATTACAGAATTGACTAATTTTTAAAATTATATGTATTACATACAATTTTTTTTTTTTTGAGACAGATTCTTGCTTTGTTGCCCAGGCTAGAGTGAGTGCCGTGGCGTCAGCCTAGCTCACAGCAACCTCAAACTCCTGGGCTCAAGTGATCCTGCTGCATCAGCCTCTCGATTAGCTGGGACTACAGGCATGCCCCACCAAGCCCAGCTAATTTTTTCTCTCTATATTAGTTTGCCAATTAATTTATTTCTCTTTTTAGTAGAGATGGGGTCTCACGCTTGTTCAGGCTGGTTTCAAATTCCTGACCTTGAGTGATCCACCTGCCTTGGCCTCCCAGAGTGCTAGGATTACAGGAGTGAGCCCCATGAACAGCCACTAATTTCTTTCTTTTTAAGGCTAAATAGTATTCCACTGTGTATATGTACCACATTATCCACTCCTCTGTTGGTGGACACTTAGTTGTCTTGGCTACTGTGACTAGTGCTGCAATGAAAATGGGAGGGCAATTTCTTTTTGACAAGCTGATTTCAAAAATTCTGGGCAAATACTCAAAGGTGGGGTTGCTACTTTATATAGTAATCCTATTTTTAGTTTTTGAGGAAACTCCAAACTGTTTTCCATAATGGTTGTACTAATTTACATTCCCACCAATAGCGTACAAGGGTAGGCTTTTCTCCACATTCTTGCCAACATTTGTTATCTTTTGTCTTTTTGATAAAAGATATTCTGACAGGTGCAAGATGATACCTCACTGCAGTTTTAATTTGTATTTCCCTCACAATTAGCAATGTTGAGCATTTTTCGTATACCTATTGGCCATTTGTATGACTTCTTTTGAGGATATCTATTCTCAAATCTTTTTTTTTAAAAATTATATCTGTAGAGAAAGTGATGGTAGAAAATCACCTCAGTGTTAAACAATAGTTATTTCTGAGAGGCGGAATATTGTATAATTTTTTTATTTTAATAAATATATTTTATTTTATTTTAATAAATAAATAATTTAATAAAAATTTCTTATTTTTTAATTTTTCATATTTTCTATAATGACTGTGTGCTTCCTTTAGAATCAGAAAAGGATAAAAAGAATTTACAAGAAACACCTTGAAAGCTGAACAATATTACCTAGCATTTAAAGAAATACAAATTAAATTTTTATTTTTTGTCTCTATCTAAATGAAGGAGGAAATATGGGGCAAAAGAGTAACTGTCCTGTTGGGCATGTTTTGCGGTTGCCAGCGCTGTCTCGGGCGTGTCTGGAGGAACTCCTGCAGTTGCCTAACGACATGCCCTCATGCGACAGAAATAGAAACTCTCGATGCCACGCATCCTTCAAAAAACAACTTGGCCCTTTGTGGATGGAGAGTGTCTTGAAGAGAGGCCAGATATTTCTAAATGTGCTTAGACCTACTTCTCTCACTTGCTCTCAGACTGTGCTACTCTTGGGGAGCCCACAATGGGGTTGCCAATTCAGCTAGTTAAGCAAACAATACTACAAGTCATGCTGAAACTGAAGCGGTCCCCAAGGGCTAGTGAGTGGGGGGCAGGTGGGGAAGAAAATTGGCTTTTGGGTTAAGACAGACTGCCCCAATTTTGAAGGCACTAATGGGACAGGTGCTACCCAAGTGGACCTTCTCATAGTCAGGCTGCCATGTCCCCAGATTGAATTGGTGGCCTTTTGGGACCAGAGGTGAACTGTCTCCCTAGACACCCAGGGACAGCATCTCAGAGGGAGAGGAATGGGAAAACCACTAGATCTTGCACACTTGCCGGGTGCAGGGGATTGTAAGCCCGATAGCTCTTCCTAGTAACTGAAAGCATATATTCTGCATCTTTCTTGGTGGCAAGATCCTGGGAAAGGAGATGCTCTTTAGAATGACATTTTTTTTTTTTTTTTTGAGACAGAATCTCGCTTTGTTGCCCAGGCTAGAGTGAGTGTCATGGCGTCAGCCTAGCTCACAGCAACCTCAAACTCCTGGGCTCAAGCAATCCTGCTGCCTCTGCCTCCCGAGTAGCTGGGACTACAGGCATGCGCCACCATGCCCGGCTAATTTTTTCTATATGTATTAGTTGGCCAATTAATTTCTTTCTATTTGTGGTAGAGACGGGGTCTCGCTTGAGCTCAGGCTGGTTTCAAATTCCTGACCTTGAGCCATCGGCCTGCCTTGGCCTCCTAGAGTGCTAGAATGACATTTAATGGGCATAGAATAAACCTGAAGTGAGTAGAATTATCTGGAAGGGATTTGGCATTTCACCCAAGCACTGGACAGCCTCTGGCTATGGCTGTCCTTTGACATGAGCCTTCTGTCTAGGGGTTGGCCCACCCATATCTTGCTGGAGGCTGCTGATGGCATCTGCCTCTGGGGATCCTGCAGCCTTTGCTGATGAGTCTCTCTCTGTTGACACCATGTGTCATCAGAGATAACGATGTCTCCAAACAGCTATCACCAAACTCTGTGCCACCCAGCATGTCCATGTGCAGAATGATTCTGTTAAACTCTGCAGCTGCTGTGCTGCAGGCTTCTCCTTGCCTACGTCCTAAGCCTGCAGACTTTCTTTCTGTGCTTTCTCTGTTGCCCCACCTGTGTTCTCTGCTCTTAGAGGCCGGTTTGGTCTGTATTCTCATCGGGATGAGGAAGGAGGTGGTGGACTGTGAGTCAAGGATCTACCTCTTGCAATAATTCGCTGTGGGACCTTGGGCCTCCTTTTCCTTACCTGCAAAGCGTGACATTGGACCCAGTCATCTCTGATCACCCCAAAGTATGTGGTTCTGGGACTAAGAAAAGCAAAAAAGCCTGGATAAGTTAGTAGGAGTTTCCTTGCTGGGAAAAGCGCTATCTAATCATAGTGAGAAGAAGAATAAAAATAATTGCCACCATTCTTTTGAGCTTGCTTTGCCAGGTCTGCACTATAAGCTTTTTGGTAGAAATCTCACTAAAGCCTCTACTAGAACTGTAGCAGGTGGAAACTACTTTTATCCTTATTTGTCTGATGAGGAAACTTAGCCTGAGAGATGTGAAGTAACTTGCCCCAGGTCACACGATACATATGTTGGGACTCATCCCAGATCTCTTTGCTTCTAGAGTTTGCTGTCTCCCTCTGCTTTGGGGAAGCCCAGAGCTCAGATGCAGAGTGGGTCTGATCCAGTTGTGCTCTGAGGGCCAGATGTCTTTTCCAAATGTGCCTTGCTTTATTCAGATGCCAGCATCCTTGGATTTTGGGTGTTTCAATGAATGTTGTTATTTTTTCCCCTATTCTGTCCTATTCATCAAAATGAATGAATGAATGAATATAGGTTTCTTATGGCACAAACTCAATTTTCTTCTAGAAATGAAAGTGCTTGTTCCCCTACTTTTATTTCTCAAGCTGAAAGAATCATTTCCTCCTTGGAAGTCCAGAAATAAGTTAAACTTTTAAAAGTCTCAAGGTTCAACAGCTGGAATGACGATCAGGTAAAAATGGAGCAAAACTCGTGAACATCCTACAATGCAGAACTACCCCCTTCATTTGTTGTCTGAGCCCACACCACAGCTGACAGCCCCAGCTCCAGAAGGTTCTTACCACTCATTCTGCTTCTGTTTTCTCACGATGTAAGCTGTTCATGCTCTTGCACACCTCCTTTCCACAAGCCATTCCCTCGGCCTGGAATGCCCTTCTTATTTTCCTGGAGAACTCCTTTGCCCTAAAGACTCAGATCGGAAATCACTGTCCCTGTGCTACCACTTAATGCAAAGAAAGCATGCTCATTCGTTCACTTCTCTGTTCTGCATTTAAATGTTAAATCTCTGAGGACAAAGCCTTGGGCTGATCATCTTTGGAATAGCTCTGGATCTGAGTTCTTGGGTTGTATATAACACGTGCTCTATTAAGATTTTGCAATGTACTGATTTCGTATGCACGTATCAAAAGCTACAAAGTTCCCATGCCCTTTGACCCAGTTATCCCCCTGGCAAGGAATTTATCCAGAGGAATAATTGAATAGGAGAAAGGAAATCACACAGATGAAAGTGCTGTAAAATATATATTTGCTAAATATTGGCAACAAGTTAAGTGTTTATCAATAGCTTAATGATGAGTAAATTATGGTTCCTGATCTTAAAGAAACATGATTCATTCTCTTATTCATTAAACAAACATACCGACTGCCAGGAATGTATCAGATACACAGCAGTGAATCAGATATCACATCTGCCTTCAACGAATACACAATCTGGTAGAGTCTTCTAAAATGATAATAACAAAACTGCACAGAGAGCTATGTTGCTACATAGAGAGCTACAGAGAGCTATCTAGGGTCTAATGTTAAGAGAGAAAAAGGCAGATTACAAAACTGTACATTAAAAAAAAACTGTACATTATAATTGCAACTCTAAACATGTGAAAGTGTGAACACGGTCTGTATGGGTGAATGCAGGAACGACGATATTGATGTGGTTAGATCATAGATGACAGTTTCTTTAGCCTTATTATAATTTTTTCCTAAAGTTTTGGATTATCCCAAATGTTTCTGAAAAAAAAATAAAGCTACTCCAGTGGTCCTGGCTCCTCCGGCTGGCAGTAGCATGAATGATGGGCTTTTTTTTCCCAGATGGGTAGGGGCTTGCCGTGAGACAATTGGGAGGAAATATTCCAGGAATCCGGGAGAGCTGGGTCAGGGAAGACTCTCACTCTGTAGACTTACTCTCACTCATCGGGTGCCATCATAAGACCTCAGTCTCTGGGCCACATCATGCAGCACAGTCTGCAGGCCCTTCCAGCAGCACCTCCACTTGGGCACAGTGCAATGGTGCCAGGTGAGGGGAAAGCTCAAGTCTGGGAACCAGACATGACTGTTTGGACCTGCAAGAGTTGATGGCTGGTTTCTCATGCTAGAAAGGATGCTCCCTGTGCAAGAGGCACCATTATCCCCCTTCTATGGATGTAGAAACTGAAGCGTGGTTGGCCCCAAGCTACCCAGCGGGTAAGTGACAGGGTTAGAGTTGAAATCTAACCTTCCTCACTTGGGGGCAGGGTTCGTTCTTTCTGTTTTTCCCCCTGGCCTGGGAGCAGGTGGAGCTACATGAGGTTAGATGAAAGATACCTGGCTGACAGGATGGGTGGAGTCCTTTGGGAATGGGGAGGCAATGAGGAACTTGTTGGTGGAACCACATGGTGGAGGGTCTCAGAGGCCAGGCATTTGAGTTTGGACTTGATGCAGTGGGCAGTGGGGAGCCCTTGTAGGTTTAGAGACATGATAGAAGAAGGTTTAATGAAGAGGATGCTGGGAGCAGATGCTGTCTGGTGTGATCAGTGGAGAGGCTGGGTCAGAAACATGGTAAGAATGGTGTGCAGCTCTTGTCCTGCCTGATCAAAACAATACTCATCCCTCTGATGTTTTGGAAATATGTCTTACCGCACTTCTAATCATGCGATTGGACTGCAGCTGCCTTCTTGTGTATTCCTTCTCCATGGATGGGCAGCTCATACAAACTTGGCCAATCAGAACCCTTCCCTGGGAATTTTGACCTTGGGACCAGAGGGGCATGGGTGTCAGTCTCTCTCTGGTGATAAAGCTGTGTAATGTGAGTCTGGGAGATCTGTCACTACTCAAGATTTGAGGGTCAGAGAGAGGAAATTCTAGCTAGGTTCAAGTCCTGGTTTCCCCTTACCTTGAGGGCTCAGCCACTGCTTTGCTCACGTCACAATGTGAACAATATTCACCACCCCCTTTTTAACTAAACTAGTCTGGCTTGAATTTTTGCTGTTGTAAACAAACAAAAAGATGCTGACATTTGCTCTAAGAGGTATGTCTACTCTTTATCATTCAAATTTTGAGCATAATCCTCAACAACACACTAGGATTGTTTTGTGGGCGTTGGGCCCATCATTTCTTGCATGTAAGAAACAACGAAGAAAAAAAATATGTCCTCGTTATTCAGTGTCAGATTCAGGAACTCTGGGTTGTCTGTAGAGACAAGGCATTGAGGATCCGTTCAGAGAAGGAGGGACGCATCTCCATCACTGGTGTAGTAAGTGAAATTGCTGCTCAGAATACTTCCCTGCCTGCTCCTCTGTGATTCAGACGGGGAGAAACCGACGTGGACCGAACGCCCACAGAAGACAGCCAGGCACTTCCCATACAGGTGGTAAAGGTACCTTCTAAACTTCTCCCCAGCAAATGCATAGATGAGGGGATTGAGGCAACAATGGCTAAATGCAACGGTCTCAGTCACACTGAGGGCCAACCTCAGATCCCTTCTCATGTCACAACTGGGAAAGAAGTCATAGAGCTTGAGTGTCTCCAGGAAAATCATAACATTGTAGGGTGTCCAGAAGAGGAAAAACACAATGACCACCAGAAGGATCAGTTTGATGGCTTTAGCTTTCTTGTGGTTCTTGCAGGAAAACAGCGTCCGCAGGATTCTGAAGTAGCAGTAACTCATAATAAGCAGAGGGAGCAGGAAGCCAACGAAGTTTGCTTCCACGTTGCGCAGCACGGGCCAGATCTCCTGGAGGACCTCGGGGTAGTCACCGAGGCACTCGTTTTCTTTTTGCTTTGTGAACATGAACTGGGGTGCCGCCACCAAAATGGCTGCTGCCCAGACGCCGAGGCTGATGGTGACGCCGTGCTGCACGGTCCGGTTGTTCATGGAGTTGGCAGCCAGGACTATGGCTAGGTACCTGTCGATGCTGATGACGGTGATGAAGAATATGCCTCCGAAAAAGCCGATGAAGAAGAAGGCGGTAGTGAGTTTGCACACGGCATTGTGGAAGCCTTGTTCACTTAGCAAGTAGTGAGTCCAGAAGGGCAAGGTGGCCACGAAGAGCAGGTCAGACAAGGCCAGGTTCAGCAGGTAAATGTCAGTAATACTCTTGCGCTTCTTGCTGTTGGTGAGGGCGAACACCACCAGCAAATTTCCCACCAGGCCGAATGCAAAAACAAGGGAGTAGAATATGGACATGAAGACAGTCCCAAAGGCCACAGCTTCCCCAATGTCACAGGCTTCAGAGGATTCATCATACTCAAAGTTATCCAGGTATTCAGGAGAGAGGGTGGGCATGGCGACAGCCTGGATCGGAAGGTAAAACGAGTGACAGTGTTAGTTCTCCGAGGAACACCGGTGGAATTCTGTCTGGCCTCACACATAGGCAGGTAGGAAGAAACAAATGCGTGTTGGCTATTTCCCAACTTCACACATGCCGTCTCGTCTAATGCCCTAACAGTCTTGTGATGGAGGCTGCAACAGACTCTTCTGACAGGAGAGGTGGCCGGGTACCCGAGAGGTTTAATGACACACCCAAGGCCACACGGTAACGGCTCAGCGGGCATTTGGGTCTAGGTCTTTGGAAGCTTGAGACAAATCTCTTTTTCTTTGACTTTCAAAAGTCTCTCCAAAAGGTGGCTAGCTTGACCAAGGTGTGGATAAGGGAGAGAACACAATGGCAGGAGGCATGGGTGGGTGGGTGGTGGAGTGAGGCCATAATTCATACCTCCACTCCCAGCTGCCCCAAGGTGACTGTCCACCTTCTCCCTTTATTTCCACCTTTTCCACCCTCTGGCCCCTCGTTTCTCCTCCATGAAGCTAGGCCTGGAGAGCAGTTCTCAGACTCAGAGCCTAGAGCAGACCAACACCCAAAAGCCCTCTTTTTTTTTTTTTTAAATAGGTGAAAGCACCACTAATCACAGATTATGCAAACGAGTTTCCTGCATCTGGGGAAAATGCAGGGGTCAACACATCTGGGTGCAATGGATGACGAGCTTCTCCCTGGAAAAGCCACCTCTGTGATCACAGCATCTCCCCTGCTAAGCAAGCATCACCTTTGTTTTTTGAGAGCCATTTCTCTTCCACTTCCTCTTGGAACCAACAAGTCCTTCTCCTCCTTAGCAGGGATCAGACAGAGTCATACGTAGAGTGACCCACTTGTTTTGGCTTATCCAGGACTTTCCCGGTTTTTAGCCCTGAGAGTCCTGCATCAGAAACCCCTCAGTCCCAAGCAAACTGGGTCGGCTGGTCACCCTATAGCCCTGAGTGAAGAGGAGGTGTTGCCATCATCCGGGGCTCTGCAGCCAGAAGGGGTGCTTGATCCCACATGGAGGCTGGGGCTCAAGTAGCCTGCTGGGCTGGGTCCCCAGCGCCTAATTCACCCGATGGTCACCAGCCCTGTGCTTCACTTTGCCCGGCCTTCCCCACTATTCTATCTCCTGTTTCCTTCTGGGCAGGAATTGAAAAAGAAGACATTTCCATACAGGCGGGGAAGTAAAGCTTGTCCCACTCCCTGCTTTTCCCAGCTGGGATTTGCTGGCCATTTACTGCCAACAGAGAGGCAGCCCTTTCGCACTGCTCCTCTGAGCACCTCCTCCTCTTCCTCACGACGCCACAGACAGGCCCCGCAGACACTGGGTGTGCTTAGAGCGTGCCTCTGGGTTGACAGTGCCTCCCCTCCTCACCACAACTTAAAGCAAAGCTCCCACGCAGTAACCAAGGGAGTTTCCGCACCTCACTGCACCCCTTCCTTGATGGTTTTACCCAGGCCAGGCGGTGTCTTGCCAAGGGGAGGCGCCCTCCCCGGCCAGGGCGTGGCCCCTCTCTTCCCAGCTTCTGCTCCGCATTCTGCGTGTCTCACACACTCTCCCGGGGTGAAGGGGCCTGGCTTTCCCCCCGGGCCAGCTCAGGCTGTGATGGGGTTCTCAACCCCGGGAACGTGCATGCTTTCTTTGCTTCGGGGAACCTCTGGCTGTGACCTTAATCAATCATATTTACATTGAACAGTATAAAATTGCTGACATGCAGCTGTTTTTGAGCTACACAAATGTCAGTTTTGTAGGATTAAAGCGGATACACTGGGGAACAGGAATTGTGACTTAGTGTGTATAGTTTGTCCCAGAACATAATCTTCCCAGACGTGCTGCTGTGTAAGAACAGAATAGTCAAGTCCTTAGTGATTCTATGTTAGGGACATTGAGCTAGCCACCCTCTTCCTCCTCTTCCTCCCCAGTAAAAACAGCTGGCAAAGCTGACCTCAGGAGGCCAAAGCCTGTGAAAATCATTGTGCATCTCTCTATGCCTGTGGTCAGTCCTTCAGGCCAGGAACGTCTGTGGACTTCGGCACTCCCAAGATCAAATCCTGCCTTTGCCCTCTCTGGCCGAGTGACAGGTGAGCGTGGAAGCTCCGAGCCTGACATTTGTCACCTGCAAGATTGGGCTTCATTCCCATGAGCTGTTCTAAGTGGAGCACCTGGCACAGGTTGTTGCATACAGCAGGTGCTTAATAAGCATTAGCTCTGTTTCCTGCATTGCATGAGGAAGCACGAGCCCTCTGCATTTTCAGACTCCTCAAAGCTGCCTGTGGACTCTCTTGTTTCACCTCCGCCCTGGGTGCTATGGGAATTTGGTTGTTAAAGGTTGATTTATTTTTCCCTGAAATAAAACATGCTTTCTTCTCAAATTATTTGGGAGGAGGGGGAGTAAGCCACTCTTTATCGAACTTTTACTAAACTGCCAGGCCCATTGCCCTACATGCATCATTATCTAATCCTCTTCATGATTCTGAGAGCAAAGTCCTGTTTTAATTCATTGCCATGCTGAATGGCTCAGGGGATATTCCTGACAAGAGGAAGAGGAAGACTGGGACAAGAGGGGGAGAAAGCAGAGATAGAAATAAGTAACAGAATTGCCCGACTGAGTGGCAGGGGTGTGGTGTCTTAAATCCAGCCCCTTGCCCTGCTGGGTGCCCAGGCTCAAGGCTGCCACACACACAGGGACACCTTCTCTAATGTGCACCAAGACGACAAACAAGCCAGAGATGGTCCCGGTTGGAGGTACTCAACGGTCACTCGGCAAATTATGTGTGAAGTACCCACGGCACAGGCTCGGAGTGGCAGGGACCTCGCAGAAAGACAAGTCAGGCACAATCTTAGCCATGAAGGAGCTTGTCGTCTGAACAGGGAAATTCACCCAGATTAAGACTTTGATAAAGACAGGGGATGGAGGAAGTGGGTCAATTTATCCTCTGTAGATGGGATGCAATTTCACATAACACGGTGGAAGGGATGACTTTGGCTGGCTGGTGGTGATACCACTTATTGAGAGCCAAGTGGCTGGTCGAGGGCATCAGCCTGTCTTAGGACCACTGCCTGCCATGCAGAGGGTCCACTCAGGGAGGCATCAGCCTGTCTTGGGACCACTGCCTGCCATGCAGAGGGTCCACTCAGGGAAGGGACAGCAACACTCAGCAGCCCTCATCCTGGCTCTCTGCTGGCTTGGCGTCCATAGCAAAGGCCACAGAGAGGCCCCAGCTCCAAAGGAGTCTTCGGAGCATGGACACAGTGCTGCACATGTGGGAGGTGCTCACCCAGCATGTTGTGACCCTGCCGGGAGCCACTCCATACCACGAGAGGGATGTCACTTTGAAGGAGTCCCTACGTGATTCTGAGGATCTGCACTAGTCACCCAGAGACATTATTGCTCTTCAGGTCACCTTTCCATCCTGCACACATTGTGCCTCACAGGAGCACAGCAAGGGCAAGCACCTGGCCCACCCCACAGCTGCAAGTGGAGAAAGAAGGACTGACTCCAAGGCTCTTCCCTCTCTCCCTCCTCCTCCCGCAAAGAGGAAGGAGACCCAGGCCCTGGCCCCAAGGGCCAAACCCTGGCAAAGGATAAGAGACAAGGACACGATTAGTATCAAACAGAGTCCAAAACCCAGTGGTAAAAAGCCATCAAAGCAATGGTCTCAGCTTCCTCTTTTAGAACACAACCTCATAGGTTTGTTGAGAGCATAAGAATAAAGTAACATTAAATCGTTTATTGGGATAATTGCTCACTGTTGTGTTGCTTATCCCAATAAGCGATGTAACATTATTAAATATAGTATATCAGCATCATCTTTCCTCCTAAAAAGAAAAAAAAATAAATATAGTATAGTGTCTAGTACAGGGTATTAGAGACATGCACATAGACGTGCTCCAGGAAATGTGTACACACGGACAGTCACTGCAGCAAGCTTGAAATAGAAATGAAAGGAAACAACCCTGATGTCTGTCGGTACTGACAGATCAGATTAAAGCACAGTAAATTTAATTAATGGAATACCAAGCACCTGCTTAAAAATGAAAACAGGCAGATCTATATACTCTGTTATAGAACAATTTCTAAGATATACTGGCAAGTGCAAAAAGCTAGGTGAGGTACCGTATATACAGTATGCTGTCATTTGTAGAAAAGAATGGTGTGTGTGTATTTTGCATAAAGTTTAAATATCTCTGAAGGGGCACACTAGTGGTGGTGACAGCAACTATCTTGGACAGAGGTCGTGGAGAGTAGAGGATGGGGGAGAAGAGACATAGTTTTCATGTGGAATTTTTTATCATATGCCCATATTACCTATTTTGGAAAAGAGACTAATTTATTTGGGCTTTTAAAAATAAAAATAGACAAAAATATGACTAATATGAAAAACTGAAATAAATAAATAACCTAGTACAATAACAAGCGCACTATATCTGCTCAATAAGTGGTAGCTGACACATAAAACGATTATCTCTACTTTATGGGTAGGTAGATGTGCTCAGAGAGGGTGAGTAACTTGCTCAGGGCCACACAGGTTGTATGGTAGGGCTGCAATTTGGGCCCAGAGGTGTCCAGCCTCAGCATTTTTGTTTAACTTGGTATTATGGCCCTCCCCCTGTGCCCCTCTCCCAAGACTAGGAGCTCCTAAGGAAAGAACCATGTCCTCTTTAGCTCTGCAAGCCAGTGTTCAATAGGACAGGCCTGGAACAGAGTGAATGTCATGTGAATATTTGTAGAAGAGTAAATATTGTATCCTACTCCTTCATTCTGGAGAGTTCAATGGGAGTAGTGCCAACAGCACCCTATTGATTGCCCTGGTCCTGTGGGTGCTCACAGGGCACGCAAGGGTACATTTTGATCATGAGCCAGGGGCCCTTGGGCTTTGAGAACTTAGTAGGTGCCTGGTGTGTTGAGTGAATGAGTGATGAAAGGCCTAGAGGAGCAAGAAAAGAGGTGATCAGCTTTGCAACGTGGAGCCCCAGAGATGGGCATGGGTCCAT